AGTTACGCTCCTCCGGCCACTAAAGTTCACCATGATCCGGTGTTTGGCCTTGGGCTCGCCCACACAAGAGTTCCAGGCCCTTTATCAATTGGCTTACTTGAAGCTGCTCGCGTCCAGTTGCAACATAGAAGCAAAAAACATCTCATGCTATGATCCTGCTTTCCTGGCCGAGGACACACAGTTCTTGGCCAATGCACTAGGGTATGTTGTGGAGGCGCCAGAAGAGTACTGTCCGGGCCCTGAGACCACCGGCAGCACGCTATATTATATGCCTCATGCGCCTCGCACGCTCACAGAGTCCGTTTTGGCGCAGCACAGGCCTCGCTGGCTCTTGGCCAACGACTTTTCCGTGACGATGGGCACGCTCACCAAGGCCAGGTTCCTCCAAGAATGCCCAACCCTCGCGACCCTCGTGCATTTGTTTGACCAGAACACTGCGCAAAAGCTTGCCGAACCTGCGCAAGAAGACGGCTTCGTGCGCGTGGTGTCGAGAAAAAGACGAAGCCGGCCACGCAAAAACGTCTACGTAGAGCCCGAGTTGGAGTACGACGTCCCGGGGAAGTACTTCCGCGATGTGCACATCAGCCGCATCAAGGCGGACGCGGGGGCGCCGTGGAGGGACTCGTTCAGCGACTTGGCGCTCAACGTGGTGGTGCCCAAGGAAAAGAAATAATAGTACAATTTTCGTGTAGTAGGAAGTCCAGCGTGTAGACCGCTCAGTGCATGCGCGGCTTTTTCGCCGAGGGCTCCAAGGTGTCCATGGGGTCAATGATGCCCTGGCCCAACGGCGGCGTGGGCGTGATGTTGGGGATGGCCTGCGGCATGGCCACTTGCAGAGGCCCCTTCGGGGTAAGGCCGGCAAAGTCGGGCACCGGCGGCAGGTCAAGGAACTCCAGCTTCGGCCCGATGGGCGTCTGCGTGTCGAACGAGCGGATGATGTTGGTCGCCGTGGCGCCGTCGAGGTTGGGCATGACGATGTCCATCAACACGAGGTCGTACTTGGTGTGCTCCACCGTGGAAATGGCGTTCAAGCCGTCCGTGACCACCGTCACTTGGCAGCCGTACTTCATCAAGAACTTGCGGCAGAGCTGGATGCACACGTTGTCGTCCTCCACAAGCAACACGTGGAACTTGGCGTTGGGCATCAGCGTCGTCGACACGGGCTCGTACTTGGCGAGCGGCACCGCGGCGCCGTCCGTGCTGTGCTGGCGCAGATGCGCCGGTTCCAGCCGGCTGGCCGGGCCCGGCGCGGCCGGCGCCTGGAGCTTCTGCTGCTCCCTTTGCTGTCTCTGCTGGTGCGTCTGGATGGTCTGGTGCTGGTGGTGAGCCGGCGGCTTGTCGCGGGCCAGCGGCGGCTGCACCATGCTGAGGAGGCTCGGGTTCGGCAAGTCGAGCGGCGGCACTTTGATCCCGGCCTGCGTGAGGCAATGCACGAGCATGCCCATGGACCGGTACTGGCGCTCGTTGAACGTGTGGTGCGCCACCACGGAATCGGACATGGCGCGGTACTTTTCGTTCAGCACGCGGAGGTCGTTCTGGAGCTTGGCCACGTCCGTGCGGAGCTGCAGCACCTGAGCCTGGAGCTGGCCGGCGTCCTGCGGCGGCTCCTTCTTGGTGGGAGCCTTGCGGCGGATGTTTTCGAGCGCGTCCGTGTCGTCCTTCTTGAAGTCCGGGTGCTGGAACTCCCACGCGTCGTCGCCGTACTGGTAGGCCTGCCGCTGCTCGCTGGAGATCTTGACCTTGTGGAAATCGTACTTGTTGAGCTGGCGCACGAAGCTGGCAAAGTTGCTGTGCTTGAAGTGCGTCGGGAGGATGCACTTGGTGAACTCGTTGGTGTTCAACACCACGAAGCTGGTGCCGTGCGGCGTCCACCGCACCACGTCCAGGTACCTGTCCTGCAGTAGCATCTGGTACAACTTCTTGACGAAGTCGTTCAGCCCGTTCAGCCCGGGGTTGTCGTCTTTGGGCGCGGCCATGGCGAGCGTCTTTGGGGGTTGTGTGGACAGCGGCGTGCGGCGGCCGGGACGCTGTGTTGTCGGTCCGGATTCAGGGGCTGTCGGCGGGTAAAAGCGAGCTAGTGGTCGCTAGCGTGCGGCAATGTTCCTTGGGTTCGGGCTCGGGGAAAACAGGGCACGGCAGCAAAAGGAGCACAGGCAAAATAGCTAGAGCGAGCACAGGCAAAGCAGCAAAAAACAGCAAGGCCGGGCGATCGGGTCGGCGGCAGAGTTTCCAGGCAGATCCGCTAACAAGTGACGGAGAAAGGGGAGGCACCGGCAAGGCGAAGACGGCGCAAACGTCTGTTCTTTTTTTTTTGGGTGCGCTTTGTTTTGTTTTGCTGTCCAGCTGCTGGAGTCTCAGCGCAACACAAGCAGGGCCTTGGTCTAGAAGCCCGGATGGAGAACTGGTGGAGGCCCAATATAGAAGGTGAGGGCGCCGCTTGAAGATCAAAGTACTGTTTGCGCAATATTCACCGGATGAAAAAACAGCGCGGCAGCGAGACGAGCAGCTTTGAGTAGGGCGATGCGGGGTTCAAATCACACGCGGCGCTGACAACCAGAGGGGGGCGCTGCAGAAGATAACGCCTGTTGGGTTAAGAATGTCTAGAACTGCCGGGTGTTTTGGTGCACTTGCCTGTCACCTGGCAGTGAGCACCGTGCCGCGCACTGTGTGCAGGACGCCCGGTTTCCCTTGTGCAGACGGCGGAAGTTGTGCCGCACGGGCGGGCTGCTCGGGCGCTGGCAGGACGGGGTGGGGCCGCGTGCTTGCCAGCGTCACAGGCTGTGGTATTGGGCGTTTTGGTGCCGGGAGGGAAGTCGTGGCCGGGCTGCTGTATGCAGTCCGAGTGCTCGTGGATCTCGCGCGCGCAGCGGCCTGACCCACGCTCGCTGGGCTATGCTTGCGTGGTAATCAAACGTCATTTGTTTTAGCTCCCAGTCAACGAGTACGTTCTCTTAATTTTTCGCGGCAGAGACAATAGAAAAAACCTGCTTATTGTCTTGTTTGCGAGAAGGATTTTGTAGTGCCAATAATTGGAACGCCTAGTCGCCCTCTTCGATGGAATAGATTCTGAAGTCTTCAGCCCAACGCTGTAGTGAATCTGGCTATGTAGGAGTGGCGGGATGAAAGCACTTGCAATCGAACGCACGCATTTTCATGGTGCAGCTTTGATATTTCCCGGACCCTGCTGCCTTTCCGGACCTTGCTGATGTTCTGGACTCTGTTGTCCCGCCTCTTGTGTGAACAGACTTTTGTGTTGCCAGCCTCTTGTGTTTCCAGCCTTTTGTTTTTCCAGTCTCTTGTGTTTCCAGCCTCTTGTAATGCCAGTCTCTTGTGATACCAGCCTCTTGCATCTCCAGTCTCTTGAATTCCAGTCTCTTGAATTCCAGTCTCTTGAATTCCAGCCTCTTGCATTTCCAGTCTCTTGCGTTTCCAGTCTCTTGCATTTCCAGTCTCTTGCGTTTCCAGTCTCTTGCATTTCCAGCCTCTCGTGTTTCCAGCCTCTGCCTCTTGCATTTCCAAAAAGCCCCTAGTTGTCTCCATTGATATGACACCTGGTCTCACAGCCGAGCGACCCTCGACCCGAGCCCGGGTCCTCCATGCACGCCATTCTTCGTCCCAATCATGTTCCGCATCCCCCATCGCCTGCTTGTTCCAGCTATAGCACTCGTCCTCTCTCCGAGGCGCACCCATGACCCTGCGAGCTCACAACTCATCGTGCACATCCTGCTCGACCTCCCTGAACCGGACGACCCAGTCGTCGACAATATTGAGCTTGGGTCCAAGCACCTCAATCATGTCGCCGTTCCTCTCGAACTTCGCGCTCCACGTGGTGTCTTGCTGGGTGATCTCAACGCCCTCGACATGGGAGCCTCCCCAGCCGACAATCGTGATCCGCTCCACCATCACATGCCTTAGTGAAGCGGCATAGGTCTCGTCACCACTTCGAGAGGTGCCGGTGAGCCTCCCGGCCGTAGCCTCGAACGAAACAAGCAACGACTTCCCTTCCTTGTAGCCATACGACTCGCCGTCGTCGATGTAGAGCCTGCCCTGGGCCGTGCTGTCCTTGCTGAGAGCCACCACCAAGCTGTACGGGTCGTTTCGCATCAACTTCGCGGAGCGGCGGTACCGGTCTCTGCGGGCCAAGATCGAGCCTCCCTTGACGAAAACAGGAATGTCGGCGAGCGAGACTTTCTTGGAGACGCGGCCGGACCCCTCGAGCCTGGAGTGGGGCCTGGGGCGCCCGTTAGTGTAGTCGTAGTAGACCTGGCCGTGCGGAATGTACACCGACACGTTGTCGCACGCTTCTTCCGTGGCCGGCTTGACCAAAAGACCCGAGTTGCCCAAGAAGAACTGGTCATCGAGCTCGTATGTCAGCGTGTCCTCGGGGCTCTCATAGAACATCGGGCGCCACACCGGCGTGCCGTCCACGCTGGCCTCGTGGAATAGGGTGTAAAGCGTGGGGAGCAAGGCGTAGCGGAGCCGCACGGCGTCGCGTATGATGGACAAGTAGGGCTCGCCGGGCACCCAGGGCTCGCGTCGGCGCGAGTCGATGTGCGCGTGGGCGCGGAAAAACGGGTACCAGATCCCGGTCTGGTACCAGCGGGCCAAAAGCTCCTTGGAGGGGTCGCCGAAGAAGCCGCCGACGTCGGCGCCGGCAAAGGGCATGTTGACGACGTTGGAGGTCAACACCATGGGCACGGACGCGCGGAGGTGCTCCCACGAGGCCATGTTGTCGCCGGTCCACATGGCGGCCGTGCGCTGGGAGCCGGCGTAGTAGGAGCGGGTCAAGATGAACGGTCTCTGGCGGCTGGTGGGCGCGAGCCGCTTGGAGAGCGCGTTGTGGGTGAGCTCGTGGAACGCCTTGCCCCAGAGGTTGTGCACGGAGCGGTGCTCGACGGCGCCGTAGTGCAAGTTGTCCCTTGGCGAGGATGTTTCCGGCCCGTTGAAGAAGGACGGCTCGTTCATGTCGTTCCAGAGGTGCACGTTGGTGTGGCGCCCCAAGAACAGGCCGTGGTGGAACGCGAAGAGCAGGTCCCAGTAGGCCTGCGCCAGCGGGTTCAAGGCGTCGACCCACACCGACTCGCCGGGCCAGCAGTGGCCCTTGTAGGTGGCGTTCGCCGGGGTCTTGATGCCGATGCCGAGCAGCTCCACGCGGTCGCTGACGCCGTAGCCGGTCTTGAGGTGCGGGTCGACAATCACCACGAGGTTGCGGCCAGTCACGTCGAGCAGCTCCATCATGGCCGCGTGCCCGCCAAACGTGCTGGGGTTCCACGTGAAGTACTGCTTGCGGTCCGCGTACTCGATGTCGAGCCACACCGTGTCGAACGGCACCAAGTGCTGGTCCATTTGATCGGCGATGGCCAACACGTCGGCCACGTCGTTGTAGTTCCACCGGCACTGGTGGTAGCCCAAGGCAAACTCCTGCGGGAGCGCGGCGAAGCCGGCGAGGAGCCCGTACTTGCGGTTGACGTCCGCCGGGCGGTCGCCAAGAATCACCACCATGTCCAACACGCCGTTCTCCGAGATCCAGTGCGCGGCCACGGACTCGGCCTTGTGGACGTCGACAAACGTGTCGGCGGCGCTGGCCCACAACACGCCCACGGCCGCGCCGGGCTTGGCGCCCACAAGAAGCGGGATGGCGCCGTACATGGGCATGCGCGAGTCGGTCTCGTACTCGAAGATGTCCACGTTGAACAAGCGGTACGGCCAGTCGGAGTGCGTGGTGTCTTTCAAGCTGAGCGCGTCCGCGTGCTCGGGCACGCCGTACACGTGGCGATAGCCCGGGAGCCGCACGTCCACGGCCACGGCCTCGGGGCCGAGCGGCAAGCGGTCGTTCTTGGCGTCGCCGAACGAATCGCGGAACATGTCGAAGTCCAGCTCCAATTGCGCGTGGACGTGCGCCGCGTTGTCCGCCTCCGCGCGGAAGTGCTCCATGTTGAGGAGCGCCCGGTCGTTGATCACTACCTGGGGCTCGCCGGCCTTGCAAATGGTGACCTTGACCGGGGAGTACTGCACCGCCACGGAGTACGAGCCGGCGGGGCCGAAAGCGTAGGTCACGCGCCCGGCTTCCCGGCGCAAAGCGGCACCTTCAAGTGGCGTGGTCTTGGCGGCGGCCGGCGCGCCGAAGACCGCGTCGAGCGCCTGGTCGTAGCGCCGGCAATCAAGCCCCTCGACGTCCACGTGGCTGCGGTTTTCGTCGACCTTGAACCGCACGGAGTCGCCGTTTAACACCGACACCAGCCACGGCAACTGCACGTGGCCCCCGTGCGGGAGGCTCTTGGTGAGGAGGCCGTGGATGTGCGTGTCGGACACGGAAACGGAGCCGGGGGCGATTGTGTACGGCAGGGCGGACGCGCCTAGGCGGGCCATCTGGCTGGCGTAGTGCCTGTTTCGGTGGCAGAAGCCGGACTGGCGGCAGTCTTTGAAGAGATACTCCTTGACGGCGCCGGCCGTGGCGAGCATGAGCAAGACGGCCCATATGGGGGCAAGGCGCTGCATGTTGCGGGGGTTGGTGGGGGTTGGGGTTTGTTAAGGTGCTGTTAAGGTGCTGTTAAGGTGCTGTTAAGGTGCTTGTTTCGCAGAGAAACTATGGCGCGCGCGCGACTGTAGATAGCGCGGGGCGAGTGGTCGGTATCAGATTTCTCGGTTCATACGGTGCTTGGGATCTTTGGAATAGTACTATTTTTGGAAAAGCGTTGGAGGAGAAAACGAATGAAAAAGCCGTCAGAGGTTCTTTCAATATAACCATCTTTGTAGGAAGTTTTCGAATGCCACGAGGTGACTACTTGGGGAAGACCACGTGACACGACGTAGATGGCGAGGGCCGACCTGTCAGTATCAGATTTCTCAGTTCATATACGATGCTTGGGATCCTTGGAATAGTGCTATTTTCTAACCCTGGGGAAGAAAAAGAACGAAAAACTTTATTTAATACTTTTTTTTAGTATCATAATGATTAGACAAACATAATCTTATATGAATAGTTATAAACCTATAACCCTAAATACTATATAATCCGATGGAAGATATAGGGGGGCTTATTATCAAAAGTTGTTGGTAATTTAGTTTTGTTTTTTGTTATAATCTCATTTCACATATATCTTAACTATTCTTAAATTTAATCAACTTAATTAACCGCATAGTTGTATAATTTACATGTCTTACAGAATGATTGAATATAATCATTCAAGAATCTAATATTATGCAAGAGGATTATTAAATTTTAAGAAGTATTAGAAGTATCTGCTATATAAACAATACGATAGTTAAACATATAATTATTGTACCATCGCATTTTCGAGCGAGCTAAATAGGAAAAGTATAATTACGTACTACATAAATAGAAGTATTATTATTATTACTTCGTGATATCGAGGGCCGACTGTAGGGCGCGGCCCC